GGGGGCGGGCCGGAGCTCGCCGCGGGACGGAGCGGGGGCAGAGCCGGGCGGGCCCCGGGGGAAGCGGAGGGACAAGTGCCGCCCCCGGGCTGGGCGACGGGCCGCCGACCTCTTCTTGCTCCGAGCCGACTGAGGTCCTCGCCTCTTCCGCGCTCGGAGACCCTCGGGCGAGAGTGAATGAGTACAAACGTCGTTTCACCGTCACACCCTGGTAGCGGAGTTCAGGCTGCTGGAGACTGGATATATAATGTCAGCGGCACCGAGTCATCTGCCGAGAGGCCGTGCTACGGACAGCGCTAGGGATTTTAAAAGGAAATCGTGAGATAGGTCAGCTCTTAAAGAAAGGTACGCAAAGATGCTAATCCTCAATCCGCATTTTAAAGAAAATCACAAGAAACCAGGCTTAGTCCATCGGAGTTAGACCGTAATGACCACTATCCATTCTCACCACTGAAGTAGCAGAGAAGCTGCTTGAAAGACTGTTCCCTAGAAGCTTAAGCAATTTCAATGCAGCTCTTGTGTTTCTGGATAGAAAAGATCTGAAATCAGCAGTGCTAATTACTAATAGCATTAGAAGCTCAAAGTGGGGCTATGTGGCTGAATTTCCCTCCATCTCCCCTTATTATTTTTAATGTTGTTTCTCAATCAGTACTAGAATTTAATTCTCAGTTATATAAGAACTGTAGTATGATTCAGGTCAATCATTTCGACACTTAATTTTCAGCATTACAAAACCGCAGCCCGCAGTTACTGAGTTTTTAGAAAGTAAGTTGGTAATAACTAGCGATTGCATTTTGCTTCACTTCTAGAGTAAGAACTGAATAAACTATTAGTCTGCCTGAAGTCTAATTTCAGTATTGTCACCAAACACTAAAGCATAAGCAAGTATTTTTAAGATGTTCGTGCTATGTCTTGACATTACTGTGGCTAGGCACGTGAAGTAAGTGCTCTGTGGTATTTCAGGAGCTGTATTTCCCAGAACTCAAGAGGATTACGGTTTTCTTTCCTCCAATTTCCTGCCAATCAAGCACATCATTTTCTCTGCAAATATGTGAAGCAGATATCAGATCAGCCAAACAATTTGAGATTAATTTCACTCATCAACCGAACTTAATAAAAATACTTCCTTATCCCTAAGCATCTGTTAGCAGAAGAGTATTATCATTTTGGTATTTCCTGCAAAAGGACTACAGCAGTGGAGTCAGTGAGAAGGCACCTTCCCTCTCATTTATTTTTTAGTGGTGTATCTCTAGGCACGTGCCCACTGGTTAGACAGTTTCTTAATACTCAGAAGGGGGAGATGGTAACAGAAGTCTACTTTCTAACTCTACATTAATTTTAAAAATCATATATTGTGTCTTTCAGGGAGAGGTTTGCTATCTAACACACACTGAAAAGAAAATTGATTACCTTGCTGTACAAGACACAAATATCCAAGTTTGGTAATTCCACACTCCTTCCTCGCAGGTTAAGCAGATGATGCCAAGCCTTATCACCGAGAAGTGCCTGATGGCTTTTGTCATGTGTTTTCTATGCTACATGGCGCAGTGAGGTGGAGAGAATACACAGCTCACATCAGTGTTTCAGCACAGCTGGTCCAGCACTGTACAGATGCTGCAGCTTCGGTCTCAGCAGGGCTCATCAGTCCATATGTAGTACCACAGTAACAGTCACACTCCCATTCTGGAGCCAATTCAGACTTTGCTAGGTGCACAGCATATGCCCGATTTTTAAATCCTGCTCTGCTCCTGGGGAATAATGTCTGCGTTTCTTTTATTGTTCTCTAACTGTGCAACATTTTCAACCACCTTGTTTTCACTCACCTATCTCCTCGAAGTAAAAAAACAAAAGAGAGACCCAAAATCTCTCAAATGCCCTCAACCAATCATTTCCAGAATAATCTTCAAGAGCTAAGCACATCAGCCTTAACAGTTTAATGATTCTTAAGACATACACTTGGCTGCATCGGTACATGCTGGACATTACTGACATAACTCCTCTTCCTTGACATCCATTCTTTAACTCTTCCTCACTCATGTGCTACATCTAGAGTACAAATACATGGGGAGGGGAAAACATTTTGGGGTTTATTTGCTATCAGTGGCATAAACCTCAGATCAACTGGATTCCTTTCAGACACACAGAACAGACTGCGGATGATGTACAGCTTGAATTCCCTTTAACATAATCTTTGGTTTAGTAAGGAGGTGCACTGTTAAGCAAAGTAGCTACTGACACTGTACAACTCTGGTACATCTTAGCCTATCCAAACAGTAATACGCTCATTATGAATTTTTGTTTACCACTACAGGTAGCAGCATTACTGCTGCCTGCAGCAGTGAAGGTGTATTCCAAGATAGCATGAGTTCTGTCTCATGCTATGCTGTGTAAACAGTACCTCGGGGTACACTGGAGGTTAATTACCAGAAGACCCATACCGCTTACATGCAGACGCCATGTTCAGTTGTGAGATGACCTGATGCTCTTTTGTTCATAGGAGGAATACTGGGTTTGCCCATCACGGGAGCACCTTCCTCAGATTTCCTCCTCCTGATCCCCCTACCCAGGTTGCACATATTAATCATGTGGATACATCCTGACCTTCAACTGTACTAGCTGCTTTTCATAATGTCAGGTAGAAAGTAGGAGCCTGGGTCTTCCTGGAGAAACTCCTGTGTTGCTTACTGCCAGGGCAGATGGGATTTGTAGATAAAATACAAGGCTAGTAGTGACGTGCAGAGTCACATCTTGGGATAACATAGATGTGTATCGTGGAGCTTGAGTATACATTACTAATGGGCTGGTCTTTCAAAACAGGAGTCATGTCCCTATTGAAAGAGCAAAACTTGCTAAACTCAGTCTGACTGAGAAAATCCCCACTGCCTGGAAATATCTCTTTCATGACATATGAAAAAGAAACCAAAAAAACAACTACTCCTGACAGTCAGTAGAATAATTTCTGTTCACTCACCTGCTGCAAACAAGTTATTGATTTATGCTTCCAGTGTTAGTAAGGATGGTTTGTACCCAAGAATTCCAGTTGGTAGCCTTCATTTGCCAAAAGGTAATTTTATAGAATTGTTTTTCTTATTTTATGTCAACTGCATATCAACATAGCACTGAGTAACTTGAAGTCTTTCAAGATTAGACATAAGAAAAATTCTACAGATGACTGTTCACAAACTGAATAACCCTGACTGCGTTTTCCAAATCATTTTTGATTTTTGATGGCACACACTGGAAAAGATGTTATCCATAAGTAAAGTGGGTATGATGGAGGCCAGTTCTGCAGAATCCATAGCAATATTTCAATCTGACTCAGCTGCTGCTGAAAAAAAATAATATAGGCAATACAACTCTTCTAATTCTAGCCAAAGGATTTATCAGATTGTGAACTTCGGATCTTTTTCAAGTTGTTTTCAGCCTGACACTAGGGTCTGAAAACATACTCATCTGAGGTTCAAAGATTTTTATCTCCTAGATCTTAGGCAGACTTTCTTTCAGAAACTGGATTTTGTCATTATTTTACTAAAAGCAGACAAAAGACATGATTTCACCTTATAAATACTTGCTTACTTTCTGTTTGAAAGGGTAGTTGTCAGGAGAAAGAGCAGTCTTTAAAAAGGCAACGCATTCGCCTTCAAAATTTTAAGTTCTCCATTTCTGTAAGAAAATTCTGCACGTAAGAATACTCTGTGTGACTGACAAATCACAGAAACAGTACCCCACTAGCGACAGGTTTTTTAATACGGGTTTCTTATCTCCCTGCACAATTCTTCCCTAAAAAAAAAAAAAAAGTAGTTACTAAATACATTAAATCTTTCCAAAATACAGTTGTTTAGAAGAAAACCCTCCCACTTCATGCAATAGTCTACAGTATTTCAGAATCATGTTTGCATTCAGTGATGCAACCAAAGCATGGTAGTGTAAGTTTAAGACTCCTATAACTGCACAGAACCAAAACTAATTTGTAGGTTTTTGTTTCATGAGATTTTCCTTCTGCTTGTTGTTTCTTTTATTATTTTTTCCTTGTAAAATAGTAAGTGAAAGTTGTTTCAATTTAAAAAAAAAAAGTCCAAGGATACAAGTAAGAGCAATTTGTTTGATTTTTTTTTTCTCCTGGTAACTGCACCAGACTGGTAAAGTATTACTAGCTGTTCTTGTATTGATTAACTTATATCTGAATAAACCAGCCAATCCTGTATGCATTTAGTAATATTGCTGACATCATATATGCAAAACCACAGACTAAACCCTTAATCCATCTGCAGTCAAGCACTAACTGTAAAGAAGTAGATTTGCCAATAACATGTGTAACTGTAACTTGACTAAAGACACTGTATTCATGTATCTATTTTTACACATGAAAGGACAATATACTTAACAATGATCAAAGTAGTCTTAGTGACAAGTCTGCACGTCTTTTTCACTCTATTTGACAAACTGTAAATTTTCCTATACTTTCACAATCACAACAGTGATTGCTGCAGATGAAAGCACTGCTGTTTGTACCCTGGCTCGGAATCAGGAAAATGTTATTTTCTTTCACATTAATCTTTGTTCAGGTGAACCTCAGGAGAATACTTTGAAGCATTTCTTCTTTAATTAGCCACCATAATGACGTATCACTAATGAAGAGCTTTGGAGAAATTAGTATTTAATTATACATTAAATTCTATAAAGCATTAAATTATCATCAATGTTTAGTAAATACTTTGATAAATAGCTTGGTTATTCCTTCCAGAGTAATTTTCTGTGCTGCACACTAGCCTTTATATACATATATATTTTAAAAGGATGTTTTACTCCTAAGAGCCTGACTGACCAAATTAGCTATACTCCTAAATTATTATTTAGTACTGCATCCGGTAAGGGGCTAATAGATCGTCTTATCCTTACTGAGGAGAACTTCTAAGGACTGAAGAGCTAGAGAGTGTACTCTGCAAGCTAAAACTCGTGTTCCCAGCCCATCTTACAAATAATACAATTTTTCCCCGAGGGAAAAAAAAAAAAAAAAAAAAAAAAGGTTACCTCTGTAGAGCCTAACGGATCTTCTGCTATACTACTGTGATTTTTATTAACCGTCTTTTTGCCTCTCCATTGGCTACCCATTTTACTTTACTGAATACAGCTTTTTGTCTTTACCTTTAAGGCCTGGGTCTCTTCTTGTCCGTGCTCCTGCCCGCTGTCCTATGCGATCAGCCTGTGAGATGCTGCACCAAACATCCACCAGCACGATTTGCCCCCCAGTATTTCTGTGTACGCTCCAATGCCGCGTCCCCCCTCTTGGGATGAAACCCCCTATAAAAAAATCCAGAAAGCCACTGCAGTGTCCTCCGAGGCCACAGCACACCTGACCGCTGCTAGCTACGGGACTGACGGCTACGCTCACCGCCATCGACACTCACTCCCCACGGGTGACTGCAGGAAAGGGGGCTCTGGAGCCCGGCTGGCGCAGAGCAGGGCTAGGTCGCGGCAACGGCCCAGGTCGGTACAACGCCCCGGAGGGCCCCCGAGCTCCCCCGGAGGAGCGCGGGGCCCGTCACGGGAGAGGGCGTGTGGCGCCGCCACCTCCGGGGCGAAATCCCTCGCTCGCAGCCGCTGGGCTTGAGGGTGCGCTGCCACCCCGACTCTGCGCTGCGGTTTCGCGGCGAATCCCCACCGCTGCGCGACGAGCCAGGCGCGC